TGATTTGATGGATTTTTTTTTGACTGTACAATTAACAAGTAATTTTGAAAGCGAAGCTGATAATTAAGGTAATTATAATCATTATTCTAAACAGAACATCTTTCGCTTCACAATTTAAAAAATTGCATGGTCCTAAATTGATTTTATTAAGGATTTGTATTGTGGGAAAACAGGGGTAGTTAAATGATAGCTATTTTACTAGCTAATAGTTTTGTTGTGTCATTTAATTTATAAAGATATATTTTATTGCAGGTCAATATTTTGTTATTTTCTTTATTCAAGTTAATTTACAAGTAAAGCAAATTTTAGTTAATATGACTGAATTGGTCTTGATCTGCACGTAACTTCATTTGAATGTTCCTCAGGATTCAATCGTTCCATATAATTCAAATTATCTAAAAAATTGCATTTGAAATTTGTTATACTAAATTATTAATCACGTTTTATATGTTTAAATTTTGTTGTAATGCGAATTTAATTATAATAAGAATGAACATGTGTGACATATCAAAAACCAATCAAAAGGTTAGTTTTGTGTGATGACAAAATTTGGCCAATGAAATAGCTCGTTTTACAGTGTCCATTAAATTCATTAACAATAATAACAACTATATACAACATTAATATTAAACAAACGTGACATTAAACGCAATTTAACAATAATCCGCGTTTCGTTGACAAAGACACTGCCGATTTGATTAATGATCTAAACACCGTGATTACTAAGGTTAATCCGACTGATGCCGATGGTCTCCAAGAGATAGTAGCCGATGCCGATGGTGTTTACACCCAGCAAGAAAAACTCGCCGCCAAGCAAGCAATTGCCTTGCGGCATAGTATATAACTGGCATAAAAAAATTTTCTGAAGAAAACTCTGCTCCTCTTCCTCAAAAGGCTTTTTTTTTGCTCACCTTCTTTGGAAGATCTTTTTTTTTTGTTCTCCTTTTGAGGAAGGCATTGCTTCCTTTAATATATAATTCACACCACCAACACTACCAATACCACTTCTTCAAACTGTAATAGTCAGTCAAAAATTTTTATATTTCTACATTAAAAAAGCACGCCGTAACAGAGCATGTTGCGAACCGGGCAATAAATTTTTACCATTTCGATAATTATGAATGTAAGTTTAATAATTAAACTAATTATTTTATTTTATTAAATATTAACAAATCTGTTTCTCTCTTTTTTTTAAGACGCTAAATATCAGCGATCGAGTTGAACGAATGAAAATTATTGTTATATTTTTCCGGACACAACAATAGCACTGAATTATAAACTATATGTAATTTGAATCTTAAAATTAAAGAACCATTAGTAATTGATAAATCCTTATGAAGTTTAGATGGGGTCTTTTAATCGCCGCACATGCAGCAAGATTCCGTCTTCAATATACTTGGAACTGTCTGCCCCAATTATTGGTCTAATGGAGCAATGCATAAGGTTAAGCGTAAGAGCCACTACCAGAACCATTACTAGGATCACGATGCGATGATATCCGTAAAAAACTCACTTGGATTGACGGGTTGCGGATCAAAATTTTAGAAATTTTATCATTGTTTTATTATATATTTATGTAACATCAAAAAAAAAATTTTTTTGTAACATTAAAATAATCATTTTTATTTTCATCTAATTAATATTAATTCACTTTTCGTTGTCCCTATTTGCATTACTCGTGATGGATAATGATAATGATAATTACTGTCAAAGCTCTTTATATACCAAATCCTCCTGGGCCGAGAAATTTCGTGTCAATCAATCAAATATATAAAATTGCAATCCATATAATTTATTGGCTGCAACCACATATGATTACATGTTGCCCATATAAATTGAGGCCTAAAGACGGGTGTCGCAATTAGCTATAATTCAATTTTCGTTGCAATTTAATTTTTATATGCCGCAATTAGTTGCATCTAACATAACACTGATAGAAAATTTTGGTTTTTCCAGTGATCCCTTTTAACTTATGTTTTTTCAAAATTGGTTGCACATTGGTAAAATAAACCAATTTCCTTCCATGTTTATATTAATATCAAAATTTTTGACCAGTGTAATCATCTTTTCATTTCACCATCTTTTTTTTTTTTGCCATCAATATCAAAAACTAGAAAAGAAAACAAATCATCTGGAATCACCAGCTTGAAAAAAACATTTAATCGAGAATAATGAAAATAACCCTGAAAGTGAAAATGTTATTCAGAAACTGTAAAAAAAAATTTTTTTTAAAAGAACTAGAAAACAGAAGCTAATCAAGAAGAAATTATCCAAGGGTTAAAAAAATAAAACACATCATGATTTATATCAATTACTCCAATTAGCATAGTTAAATTTTCTCTCATTAGCTATTTATTGTGGCTAGAATTAAATAAAAATGTGCGGGATCTATAGGTTACTTTAAATGAGCAGATGATTATTTATTTATTTAATGTTAATAATGTTAATATAATTTCTTCCAATTTATTTATACTAGATCGTAACAACAATTTTCGCGAATGTATATTTATGCTTTACTCTCAAAACCACCCCTTTCACTATCGTTAAACAATTCCTTACTAAGTAATACTAAACAATATCTTTTCTTTAGATTTCACACTATATCCTGATCACGTTTCTTGATAGGTGCCCTTCTTAGGTGTTACCTTACTCAAGTCGGGTACGTTTCCCAAATCAAATTTATTAAATATTATCTCACTAAAAGAAAAGAAATAAAAAATAATAATAAAAATAGAGACAAATATAAAATAAGAGAAAATTTATTATACACGGGATTAGTATGAATTCATCGTTAGAGATAGATTTATCATCATTACGAAAATATAAAATTCGAAGACAACAGAACAACAAGGACAAGGACAAGGACAAAGTTAAGGATAGTGTTATTTACTAAATGATTATTATGATAATTGATTGACGATAAATTGATTATGATAATGATGAAGATAATGATACACAAACCTAAGAAAATTACAATGTTATTTATACATGTTAAAGGTTCTATAGGACCACGGACAATCATAATTGATGTCATATGGAAAAAAGCGGGTAAAAAATTGTCTTTAGGTAAAAAATAAAAAAGGTTAAATGTAAAAAATTTTAATCTCGTATGTGAATTTATTAAAAAATTTTCATATGTAATAAGGACAAAATATCAAAGCAAATATCCCATTAACCAACCAAAAATACAAATACAAATCATTTACAATAAACGGTTTAGTGTCACAAGCAGTTAGCAATTTAACGATCAACCAAAATCACATTTAATATGATGGGGGATGAGAAAAAGATTAGACAATATAAATCAAAATACTGAATTGAACCAACTAAATTTAAATAGTTCTGGTAAGAATATTTAACTTCACAAAATTTCTCAATTTTAATCAATTCTAAAATCCATCTTTTCAATTTCTAGCATTATATTATCACTCAACTACAGGAAATTATAACTGATGTTGATATTATTTCAAATGTTTCCTGTAAATATATATTAATCTTCAAAGTAATATTGTTCTCACATTTATTATCAAAACAAATCATCTATTATCTTGGTAGTCAAGTTTCAATAGTATGAATAGTGCAAATGTGATTACTTTACATTCAACTGCATTTAAAATTTATAAAACTCTAACAGATGAAAAGATTTTATTGTCTATTATGCATTATTTAAATATTTAAATAAAAACAAATAGGTAAAATTACATATTTTTGAATGTGGTATGAAAATTTCAGGATAAAATTATCAAGCTTTTTCGGGGTAAAATGGTCATTCTCGCTAATACAATTGTCTGGGGCCCTAGTTCTATCATCTAGTTCTCTAAAATCCTAATTTGTTCCAATTAAATGTATTTAAACCTTCCATGTAGAATTATTTTCAAGTTATTTCTAAATGTGATCAAATCATTTAAATTCCTTCGTTTAAATTTAATCTGAGAATTAAAGGTCTGTTACATTTTAGATATTTTCCGCGAGTCAATGATTTTAACAATATGAAATTGGATTGGTTTGAATTCTTGATCAGTTTTTCCGATTTATTTATTGATTTTCCACGATCAGTAAAATTATTATTTTAAATATAAAGCACACCTTTCATTACATATCAAGACACCTTTAAATTTTCCTTGAACTTTCCCCTATATAGAACCGAAAATGGTTTTTTGAGGACTTAAAAAAAGGTATAACTTTTAATGTATGGCCTATGGCGACTAGTGTTGGTTGCCAAAACTATTTTGAAGAAGCGAAAGTCAAAACTAAAATTAAAAGTTATATGTCAAAACTAAATTGAAAGTCAATAGTCAAAAATCAAAACTAGTTTCGACTTATGGCGAAACCTTTTGATTTTCGCACGGTTGCGAAACTCTCTAATTTTGGAAATCAACACTAATGGCGACCTAAGTGACTAATTGTCATCAGGGTCATTTTCCAACACTATGTACATCAACCACGCAAAATAAAATTGAGAACTATCTAAATACTAACGTGTAACGTGACACGCACCCTCAAGTCAAATCGATTGGCCACAAACGTGTCCATAAAGAGAAATTATCAAAGACTTCAATTCTCGCCTATTCACGTGACTTGTACCCAAATTTAGAAGAATTTTCCTTTTCTGGGCACTTTATTGAGAATCACTGGCGTGTAACTGGTTACTACCCCCCTGAAATTTATTTAAGTGAAAAAAATCAAGCGTATTGTATCTCTTCGTACTTTAGATTTTATTTTTATTATTAAATAGCAATAGAGAGAAAATAAAGATGTCGTCATTCTACAAAAAATTCAATAGATTATCAATCGATAAAAAAAATAAACACTCTACGGTTAGGGAAAATGGAGAACCTACAACTTTAGTTTTAGAAGTACCAACTTTTGTATCTTCGACAAATATTTTTGTTCCTGATCTGTTAATTTCCAATGGCGTTAATCATAATAATAACAACAATAATGAGAGTAACGAAAATAATATTATTAATGGTGGTAATAATAATACATCAACATTTCCAATGACAAATTCATTGTTTAATCATATTAACTCAAATATAAACAACTACAACAACAGCATGATCAAGTATCCTTTAGAAGACAAAGAGGAATTAGAAAAGTCAATAATTGCTGAAACAAATGATTTTCTCAACATATTAAAACGTGATCTAAGACCTAATACTCGATTTTTTGCTACTATCTCTTCAAATAATAGTGCTAATGCAGGTAGATATTTCTATTGGTCAAATAAGTTTTTAAAGAAAATTTAAAAGAATAATGAAATTAATTAAATAAGCAATTATTTTTTAAAGAACCACCAAGTACTTTATCAACTGCCACCAATAACACCAATATCATTAATACTAATAATATTAATAGCATTAGTAATAACATTGGTAACGTCACCGCAAACGCAACTACTGCTTCATCCACATCCACTCCCACAACTATCAATAATGAGACAGCCAAATCTGATGAAAAGAAAAATAAAAGGAAATCAAAATTAATAAATAAAGTTGATGATGGTGGTGAATTGACAAATAAAGGAAAAAGAAAAAAGCCAGACACAACAGTTGAAAAAAATAAGAGTAAAAAAAGGGATAAAAAAATAAAAAATAAAATGGTTATTGATAGTGTTATTGATGATGCTAATAAACAGCCAAAACTTTCTGAAGAGGAAAACTTGGAAACAATAAAAGAAAAACAAAATAAGAAAAAACAAAGGAAAACTTCAATGACACCTGTCACTTCAAAAATGAAAAATGTATCAACAAAGAAAAGAACGCCTAAAAAAAATAATCAAACAATGCCACCGCCACCGCCGCCGCCACCACCGCAACATTCTTCATCTTCTTCATCCTCTTGTTCATCCTCATCCTCCTCCTCGCCATCACCATTACCATTATCGTCGCCAAGAAAAACCAAAAAACCAAAATTAGTTCATGAACCAACAATTCCTTTACCATCGTCATCATCATCATCATCGTTGTCGTCATCGCCTTCGCCACCTACAAAGATTTCTTCATCAAAAATAAAGCCTGGAAGTTTAAGTATGATTTTAAACTTGGACAATAATATAACATTTGATCAATCAAATATACATTCTACCACAACGAATTCATCAATATCTTCAGATGATGAATAAAATTCAAGGTGAATGAATAGCTCTTTTACTTTATTTATATATGTGTGTGTGTCTGCTCGTACGTGCCTAGACAGATTAGTCACTTGTGCTAGTAGGCTACTTCAGACTTTCCAATTAGGGTGTCAATACAGGTTTCAACAGAATAATGATTATCTATTATTTCTTTCATTCTACTCGTTGCCTGTTATACATTCATCCAATTAGTTAATTTTCACTTTCTCTACCATAATTTACGGTTTTATTTTTTTATATTTCATTTAAAACAAAAAAAAATTTATATAGATTTAAGAACATTTTTCAGGGAAAGAATTTTAGATTCAAGATAGTTATTATTAATGTAATGATATTTCTCAATTAATTTTTTTATCGACTCATAATAATAATATATTGAATATTGCTATCAAATTCTATTAAGATATTATTATTCATAAAGAATTAAAATTCGGTGTTTCTTTATTAAATGGTGTGGATATGCTTGCTAAAGCTATAGAAAAGTTTTCATCACATTAATATAATCAACATGTTACCTATAAGGTTGTGTTACAACATTTAAAAAGGAAAAGCAATAGAAGATGGAATTAGTATTTGAGAAATAATAACATACAGAAGAATATTTTTGTAATCAGCATGCTAGAAGACTTTCCAAAATTTATAGTAGTAATAGTAAAACATCCTGTTTTCAAATTCCCATTTTCAACTAAATTTGCGCGAAAAGATAGTTTAGGGACTAGTAGCATAACACAGTTTTTTATTTTATGCTAAAAATCATCGAAAATGCATAGGCTCAAGAACCAAATCAGGTAGAGCAAAAAATTCTGTGGCTTTATTCTTTAAAGATATAGGAAATGTAACAGAATTTTATCAGCATTATAAAAAATAAAGTTATTATAATAATGAGGGTTTAAATTTAGATGTAAAATTATATATTTGGTTTATTAATATTTTATCGTTATTATGATAACTCATTATATTCGAAGAATTTTTATAACCGAATCTTGCACTGGTCAGTATTTTCCTGGATTATAGCTATCAATGAGTAAAAAATCGGTAATTTTGTCAATACAAAATAAAAAAAAATCATAATTCGTCATTTAATATTATCTGATTTTATAGTTATTTTATTAATAAATCAATTAATTAATCCATTATTTTTCATTCATATTAAAATAAAATCATAGCATCCAACAACAAAAGAATCATTAAGACACAAGTTTATCAAATCTACAATAAAATTAAAAGAACACATTGCAAATCGTGACAGAATTTTATTAATGTTTGAAAGGTTTTGTAAGTATATATTCATCCATCAATCTTTATTATTATATAATAAACTATAATTCGTATGACAATATGTTGACTAATTATTTATTTATGGTTTTTCGTAAAACTATACAAAAGAACAATTAAAAATAACAATTCATTAATCGAGGGTCACTAGGATTTCTACCATCCTCACTATTTACGACATGATATCTTTCTTCTACCTGAGCTCTAATTTGTTCAAAACAAATTTTAGCCTCGATAAACTGTATCTTTATATAAATATAATCGAACATAAAACATTAATTGATTATCCAATAAAGTCTTCTGGGTCTTAAAAACAAGTTCTTCGAACTCAAAACTCAACAATGGATTATTAACAAAAGTTTTGTCGCGTGTTTTTTTCTCTTTCTCTAATAGATGACTGTCCATTCAACAATAACAAAACTTGTTACTATTTACTATTACTGCTATTAGAAATTATTACTACAATAAAACCTGTCACGGCGGATGAACGGGGCAACATATTTTTTTACATATGAAGCAAAAATCTTAAAAATCCGTTATGACAAGAATTTAACTATAGTTCGCTGTGACAAGGTTTGACTATATCTTGCATCTTGTGGCTCTATTGTTTCAAGGATTCATTATAGTCATAAATTGGTGGACCACAGATCAACGCAAAAAGATAATTCTTTTCCATATATAATTCGATTTGGGCCATTTTTTAATGTAAATAGCTCACCGGCAAAACCTGGCTTTTAATTTCAGGATATTAATATCTTTATTGTTACTTAAGGGGAGAAGTTTCGGTATTGCAGAAAGGTCGAGTACAGCAGATGGGAAGAAAATTGGCCACTGTGGTGACTGGATTCTTGGAGCAAAGAGGAAATATCAACGAATTGGTGCGAGAGGAACATCAAACTGATGCCTGATCTGATGAATATGGCACCAAGTCAAAACTATTTAAGGATATATCGATCAAGTTATTAATTGGAGTAAAAATATAGGAATTGTACATGCTAGCAACAGACCTTTTGTGATTGACCAAATAAATTTGTAGGATTGTTAATGATAGCTTTATACATGGATAATCCTTGTGGATATATTTGTGAGAAGTGAGATTATGGAGGTTCCAGATAATGAACAAAATTTTTCATCTATATTGTTGACTATACATCTTGGTACTCATCTTCTATATTTTCATAGTTTACCCTCATCCTCAGAATAATATACTATATCTTTACTGATCGATGGAATTGCAACATTACCATTATCTTCATTCGCGCCAAGTAAATAAAAAAAAATCATTACAAACGATATTTTTTCCTCTTGCTCTAATTCTCCAATAATACTTACCCATCTATTATTTCTTTTCTAGTTGATTTTCTATCTCTTACACATTCTCACAAAGTTGATACGTATGTAACCTCGATAAAGTCGGTGGAGATCGTGTGACCGACTTATCAAGTAAACCGAATTAGGTTTTTTTGAACAAATTTGAATGCTATCCAGAACAATTTTATTTGGTATTAGGATACCTATGCTTTCTTCCTCCTTTTCTTCTTCTGGTGCTTCTTGTGCTTCAGCAATTATCACATCATCCATCGTTAATCCGTGCAACAAAAACTAGTCGTGAAGGTTAATATTAATTTAATTATGCTCGGGCCAAAGTAATTGACCGACTTGGTATTATTGTTTATTATTATCATTATTATCGTGACTTTATACGTATAGATTAACCGACTTATCAATTTTAAAAAAAAGGGTGAAAATTTTGGTCGAGCCGGGCCAAAACCGACCCACATATGTAGTCATGTGAAGATCGACAATAACGTTGTTTATCAAAACAAATCCTATCTTATGGTAGGTATATAATATATATATTTATTTAAATGAGTAATTTGACACCGCGTTCTATGAAATCAGTAGAAGATACAATCGATAGAACTCCAGAGTATATAAGCTTCATAAAAAGTCTTGAAGAGTTCCATAAAAATCATGGGTAAATAAAAAATAAATGAATCTTACCTTTTTTTTGCAAGAAATGATGTAAGCTTATACATATATGTTTAACCTCTGCAATAAATAGAACCACTTTCCAAAAAGAACCTGTTTTGGGATCAAAGAAATTAGATTTGTATAAAATTTATCAAATGGTGATTGCTGAAGGGGGGTGTGAAAGAATATGCGCGGAGAAATCATGGAAAAAAATATGCGAACGTTTTAATTTTCCACAAACTTGCACAAACAGTGCTTTTGTGATGAAAAATATTTATATAAGATTCTTGGAACCATACGAGTTGGAACATTTTTGGGGTAAAAAAGTTCCTTATGGTGGAATTCCCGGAAAACAAATATCTTCGCCACAACAACAGCATCAACAGCATCAACAGCATCAACAGCAACATTATCATCATAGTGAAACCCCACATTTTGTGCCACAAGTAGCTCCTGTTTCAACAAATCGAGTTTTAAAGATTTTACCACATGAAACTCCAAGAAATGATTGTAAGATAAATTGACGATATCATCTGTGTATTTTTTTTTACTTGGTGAATTAAATATTTAATATTATTATCATTAATAATTTTAATAAGATTATGCTAATCCAGCACAAAGAAGAATAGTTTATAGCCTGCCAATAGATTTTAGTATGGGAATAAAAGATGATTCAGATGAAGAAAAAGGTAAATAATATTTGAAATGAATGATCTACTATTTTTTTTTGAGAATTGCTATTTCTCACCGGTGGTGATTGTCACCACCTAAGGAATTAAATTTGCGTGGGGCGGAGTTAGGGTTGGGGTTAATCATAAATTGTATAATTCCTTAGGTGGTGACAATCACCACCAGTGAGAAATAGCAATTCCCTTTTTTTTTCTATAAATATCTTTATTATTTTTCAATCTAATGATTAATTATTTAATTATTTATAAAATTATAGATTCCATTTTGAGCGGAGGTCATTTAAATAGAATACTTCTTGCTTTGAAATCACAATTAGCTAATGAGATAGATTGGGCATTAGATACTTTACTAAAAATATCCATGGATCAAATGATCAACTTCAGATTAGACAGAATCCCAGAACTTTTAGATATATTTGTTATTCATTTAAACAATTTTTACGTGCAAGTAACAAGTTTATATGAGGTGAATCAATATTCAACAGAATCAACAGTTAATGACTATTTTAACGACTTAAATAATTACTTGCACTTACAAAAAGCATCCCAAATATTTTTAATTTTAAGAAATTTCTCTTCTTATAATTATAATGCTGAATTAATGTCTTCCAACAAAATGATACAAAATTTTGTGATGGAAGCACTCACACTACCAGCATTTTTAAAATTTCCACAAATTAGAATTTACTGTATAGAGATTATTAAAAGCATGAGTCATATTATTAAATTAAATAGCAGTGAAGATGAAATTTTGGTGGTTTTACGAAGACTTATTTTTTCAGATGATATTGCATTGGTTATACACAGTATCACAACAATGTCACGTCTAGCTGGAAATGAACAAAATTCAGAATTTATTAAAAATGTTGATTCTTGCGTTGTAAAACGTTTAGTAAATCTGCTTTTGATAGACGATGATGAAGAGTTGAGCAAGGCCATTTTAGAATTGTTGTATTATTTTTCTACTTCTGAAGAAACAGCATCTCGCATGGTAGAATATGCCCCAGGAAATCTTGTACGTCTTTTAATTAGTTATTTAAGACATGGTTCAAGTGTGGAATCTCAAATTCATGAAAGAATACCCCCAATTGAAAAGAGACCACCCCAATTACATGGTGATTTTGAAAGATTTATGGAACCATATAGATCTTTAGAATGGTATATATATAATTGAATTTATATGATTGTCAATTTGGTATTTTTAATATACAATTAATGATTCTTTAATATCCATAATAATAATAATGATAGGATTATGGCTGCATATGAAGAATCGCCATTTGATGGAGTTTTACAAACAGATATATGGTTTGCTTATCGTGATCAATTCCAAAATTCTCAATGTCCTATGATGCCAGCAGCAGAAGTTATTAAACTTGTTAATCGTGCATTTCCGGATTCTTCTGCAATTATGGTTACAGCATCAGATGGATCATACAAATATATGATTCAAGGTATTAGGCCAATACCACCAAAAGATGAAAATCAACAAAACGATCTGTTGTACGATTGTAAATGGGTTGATTGTAAAGAAGCATCATCTTTTGAAAATGAAAGTAAATTGATGGAACATATAGTCATGGAACACTTAGTTAAAGAACATTTATCAGAAAAGAAACAGTATTCATGTAATTGGTTGAGTTGTAATAGATTTCCATCTGGTGCAGAAAATATCACAACTGTCATAGCTCACTTGAAAACTCATTTTCCTCAACCAGAAACTGAAAATAGCAAAAAGCGCAAGAGAAGCCCGGAGATTGTAAATAAATATGGTAGAAATAATGGAATTTACACTTATAAAACTTATATTAAATCGGACAATATTGGAGATGCTATCGGAATTCCATTATTAACTTCGTTAGTTTTAAGGAATTTATCTTTATCATCAGCAAATCTTCAACATTTTGTTGCGTATGAAAAAGAATTAGCAGAAATGCTTACAAGTTGTGTTGCGTTATCAAAGAACTTGGCTGAAACTTTGAGTAACATGCAAGCAATTTAATATAAATGTATATATGTGTATATATATATTTTTTTTTTTGGAAAAAAATAAATACTTTCTTATACAGTAAATAATAAAAATTAATAAAATTCTATTAATAAAATATATATTATGTGTTTTTTCTTTCTTCTCTTACCTCAAAATCTTTAAATACACAATTAATCTTTATCTAAATTAGTGTTATCATCATATTCATCATGAATCAAAACATAATCTCTACTACTAAAACCAAACTTCAATACATCAGAAGGAAATAATTCAACATATCTTGAAGGCGGAATAGGTTTTTTATTAACAAAAGTTGAATTTGTTGAATCAAGATCAATTATATAAGGTTTTATTTCATATTTGGATTCTCCTGTTGCTTTATCTTTTATTGCTACTTCACGGAATTGTAATGCTGCATGTTGACTAGAACATGAAGGGTGATCAATTGGAATGTCAGCAACCTAACACATTTTTTTTATTATTTGTTGGTTTTTATAACAAACAATTAAACTGAATGAGAGAAAGTCAACGCTATATAAAAAAAAACCATTGAAAATAATGCCAATAGTACCTACCTTTCTTTCACGACCTAATAAATATGCACTTTGTCGATGGATATGAAGAACGTCTATTAAATATATTTTGGATGAATCATATTATGCATATATATATATATATATATACACATATATTTATTTGAAATACCTATTTGTTGATCTCCTTTGAAAACATAAAGCCTCCATTTTTTTGTTGGCAATTTTGCTTCTGGTGGTTCATAATATTTTAAAACAACACCATTAAATGAATTTGTTTCCGCTGCAAGTTTTCCTGATAATTCAAAATTAGGTTTTGCTACTACTGTTGACGCTGTTGATGCTGTATCTTCTTCTTTTCGTTTTTTATTTTTAGAGGTAGAGTCCATAATTAATAATAATATTTCCAGATCAACATTTTTAGTGCGCCGAAATTTATTTTAGTAATATCACATGATCATATCAGCATAAATATCTATTAATCGCTGTTGTTCTGTAAACGTTGATGAAAACAAATAAGAAGAAAATTATTGAGATGATTCAGGTAGTGGTGATGATGTAGATTTGATAAACAGCTTATAAAGAAGCAGTTGTTAAACCAAATCTAGATTCGCTCAAGATTTTTCTACAAAACCAAATGCATTTTTACATTCAATGAGTTTATTTCGTGATGCTACATTACATTAACTTTACGAAGCATTCAAACTAGAACAGTATATTTACTCACGTGACCATAAACGAATTGAATAACTAATACAATGTGTGACAAAAATTAAGTGGTTCGCGTCATGTTTTGACAATATTACCCTATAATATATTAGGATATATTTAAATCGATTTGTTTTGTTTTGGAATCATTGTCATAATGTCATCTTCCAATAAAGATACCCAAAGAAAAGCGATATTGCAATTTTGGAATAATGGAAACCACTTCAGCAAGATAAATACATTATAGAACTGGCATCATAACTTCAACCATATACCACATACAGTCTTAAGAAATTAAAAGAAAAAGGCGATGATTCAAGAAAAATTGAAAACAGTCTTTCCAAAAAAATTATCGCGCATGAATCAAAAGCAATCGGACAATATTTGCGCAGTGACCACAAGAAATTTATCAAATAATGTCGCTAAAGTGACCCGTATGACGAATTCAAGACATTCGGAAAGCTCAGTTACAAAAATAGTTTGCCTTTAAAGATGCTTATGCTCAATGTTGATCACAAAGAAGCTCATGTTTAGTTGAGCGACTAGATACCTCAAAGACAACTGGGAGACTCTATTTTCTGATGGCTTCCTTTCAGCTATTCAGCAATACTATAACACAATGGTACAAAGGTAAAGGACCAGTACGAAGGATATCGAACTAAAATTTTTGTATGGATGATTTTGTACACAAGGAAAAACTTATCTTTTTTGCTTTAGAGGAATCATGAATGCAAATTTTTATGCTGATATATCACAAAGTCACAATTAAGAGATCAATAGAGTGCTCGGAAACAATTGGCGTCTTCATTCAGAACCAGAACCGGAACATGCAAGCAGGATTTGTCAAACATTTCTGAGTGAAAATTTTCCTGACGTTATGGACTGACCTTCAATAGTCCAGACTTAAATCCAATTGAAAACTGTTGGGTAATTGTTAAAGAAATGTAGAAATGCATACGCCTAAAGCGGTATATTATGGAGTGATAGGATAGAATTCCAAATAACACTATAATTAACTTTATTAGTTCGACGAGAAGAGGATGTGCGAAATTAATGGCGAAAGAGTAAATTATTAATTTTTAATCAATTAAAACTTTAGATTTTATAGATTTTAATCTTTATTTTGATATGTTTTTTATGCAATGGTTTTTGAATAATGAATAAATAAAAAATTCCAAAAATTTTTACACACTGTAAATAACAAACAGAAAATTAAATTCATAAGCACACGGCTACTGATTCTATTGGAAATCAAGAGCAAGATTAAATCTTAACATTTGATTTTACTCTTTGAAGATAAAGTTTGCATTAAATTGAAATTTTGAAAATTTGTTATATATTTATGTTTACTCTCATTTTTTCCAACTAAACAAATGGTTTAAAAAATAATTCACCTGGAATAACACAGCCGAAGTTTTACAAGTATTAAGGATTTTATACATTTTGTAATTACACGATATATTCATGTGAGGACATGCTCATCTTTTTTCCATTACATTTGTTATATTTTTGATAATCAAATATTGCAACATTAACAACCTAGACTTCATTAATCAAAAAAATAAAATCACAGACATTTAAAATGATGGAGATTGACTTGATTATCCACTAATAATAAATAGTGATTGTAACTTGAACACTTACATACATCTTTAATATGATCTAATTATCTGTTTATTTACTTAAAGTTGCTTCAATCCCTTTAAGCAAGAATCAATAACTATAAAATTTATGATCTAAAACGACTCGAGTTACATTTAATAAAAAACAGAGTTTTAAAGAGATTAATCTTTTATTTATAATAACCAATCCTGCTTCACCTCCCCTACTCGATCATAAAGCGATCAAAATTTTCTTCTAAATTATTTCCTCGCTCACAAATAAAGTTAGAATTTATTCATGTTGATATTTTTACAAAGAAAAATTAGATCTTCAACAAGCAATTCGCTAATTCGTCTATCAAATCGTTAATAAAACATATGAAATTAAATATTTCCATAAATCTCAATTTCCTTACTAATTAAACTATAATATCTTCACGGAATCATAAAATTCAACTTATTGCTGCTGGTAAATTCGTTCCAACACTTTACTATGGTTCATTTACTGTAAACTGGTGGATTTTTGATAATTGAAAAACATCCAAAGGTGAAAAACAAGCATATATTCATATACTGTACGTTTAAATATGAGATTTCAATTGGAGCTCTATGAGACAAAATTTATTGTTCGTGCTGTTAATGAAATAATGATACTAGACTAGTAATGAATTTGAAACTTTTTGGAATTTATTATGTTAGCCTATCAAATCTCGCTTTCCTCTATAATAAAGCCTTCTGAAATCTTATTCGATTACGGAATTTTAGGCTTTCAAAATAGGTTTTTTTATGATCGCCCAAAATTTATTTAGCTCCAATTCATAGACGGATCGGCCATTAAGACTTGCGCAAAAATAGTTTAGCTTGTTTGTAATTAGGTCATTTAAAGTCGTGGCAGTTTAAGAAAAGTTGTGAATCTATTTGTTGATGGCAGCAACCAAAGAGCATAAATTTTACTGTTTGTGGTTCGACCAGAATTGTTGTTACATAGATGAAGGTATTATTAAAGACGGTAAATCCGATATCTCTGCTACTTCTTCTCCAGTATTGACACACACGCATAAGAATATCTGTATAATGGTATTCGGCCATTTGAGAAAACATAGGAAACTATAAAAGCAATTTGAGTTAATACCAGTTCTACGTGTAACTTTTCATGTAGATAATTTTCGGCTTAGAAATAATATTGAGATTTTTTCCTAAAACAATAACCAATTCCTTGAAATACATCTTCTCTGAGATGCTGGACAAAAGTTTATTATACTAAAACAATTTTAATTTATATTATATATATAACGATTAATAAATTAATTAATATGTGAAATCGAATTGAAATCTAAGATAACAAATTACAACTAAATATGGAGGAGTGTTTGGATACGAAGTTTCATTTGATTTTTTCATTTATTTTCACGTACAATAAGGTTCAAAGATATTACAAACATCTAGAAATAAATAATCAATCAAGAGGATCATCACCAAAATTACTTTGTGGCGTTATATTCCTGACTTTATTGGTTCAATTGACGAAATAAAAGGTAACAGTAACTTTGTTTTAATTTGAGCAAAAAATAGGCCGTATGGGGGTTTATTGGAAATGTAGCCAAATAAATATGAATTAGAATTTTCATTTGTGTTAAAAGTAATTTATACATAACAATATCACATTTATCTAAAATTTGTTTATATTTATATTTATATATTTATATTTGCTGCAGTTATTTATATATAAAATGTTCAATGAAAAAATTACTATAATTTTTGTAATTTTTGAATAATATTCCTATTGTTATTATTAACACTACTAATACGACTACTAATACGACCACTACTATTATTATTGCTACTGCTACTGATACGACCATTAATACGACCACTATTATTACCACTACTATTATTAATTGTAATTTTTAAAAAGTATTTCTTTTTAGATTTTTTAAAATTTTCATTATCAATCTCACAAAGATCTTCTTCTCTAAAAGTTAAATTTTCATTATCAACATTGTTATAATCATCGTCATATTTCATTAAAGATCCCTTGAAATTTTCATTTTCATTATCATCTTCATTGTCAAATTCATTCATGAATTCATTCGCCCGAAATAATGATGAAAATGATGAACTATGAGATAATGACGAAGATGTTGATGTTGATGCTGATCGAATGCTACTATAAATAATGAAAATCCAAAAACAAAATAATTTGAATCAATGCTATTGATATATCTTATTACGCAAATACAAAAACAAGTATAGTATAGGCTTACTTGTTATTAATGCTTAAAGGGATTATTAAACTATTAATATTATTATTGTAATAATCAGCCTCGCTATTATCGTCAATATAGAAGTCCATTTTTATATGTTTGTGTTGTATATCAAGAGTGTATATAAAGTTTGAAGGATAGGATTGAAAAAATATATTTTACAAATTTTTTTATAATTTATTATTGTTTATTATTATATTCCTGACCAGAGGAACTCTATGTAAATTTTTTTTAAAGAAAACAGAAAAAAATTGTGTAAAATATATTTTTCAATATATTTGTTTTATAAAGGTTGTCGAGAGGAAAGGGGAAAATTGTTTTTTTTTTGGGATTTTAATTTTTGAAGGTGGAACAAACTATTTATATAAATTTTTTTATGGTTGAAAAACAAGAAAGTTGAAAAAAAACGAGAAATTGAGAACAAAGAACAATAATAACTATTATGTGCATCTAGAAATACATACAATGTACGAGTATTATTAACATCAATATGATGTCTTAAATCTTTTTCCGAGTTTTAGGTTTTGAAACGAAAAACAAAAAAATAAACCTAAGCTATATAAAAAACAGTTCTTTCTATTTTATTACTACATCACTGTAGTTTTTTTTAGCTCTCGGCAAAACCTTTATCAAAACGAAAAATATATTAATTTAACAATAAATTAAAAATGTACATACATGCATATCAAACTTAAAAGGTTCCCCTGCCTAGCATTTTATATCAATGAAAAATTGAATCTTTAATATGAACTATACCATTTTAGAATAACATTAAATTTAAATTATTACCAAAATTAGCATAATTTTAGTAAATCTTCGAAAAAAAATTCCTGTATATATATTAATATTAATATTAATTCGTGACACTTGTTGCAAATAAAAAAATTCCTTGTAAAATTAATATTAATTCGTGATACTTCAATTTTAGAATTGGCGCAAATACTAACTGTAAAGCAACTCACTACCTTTTAAAAATTGCAATTGTACTTGTAATACATGACATGAATCTCAATGTATCAATATACCAATTTTCAAAGAGGCTTTCTTATAATGCATTTTACTTTTATATAGTGAGTGATCATTAACTATTATTGGCTTACCAAAATGGTATCTGCCCTTCAGGGGCAACAAACAAGCCAAGAAACAATTCATCGCATCCAGATTTTTATTTAAACTTTATATCAAAGGTTTTATTATTTTCAAAATTTGCCGTCTGTTATATAATATATTGTAAATAAATTTCTTAAAAATACTTTCGCGTGATATTTTCCCTAAATTTTATTGGCCAAAACATTTGATCTGCTTGTATCACAATGATTTTCTTAATTTTATTGGTCAAGATTGTACACGTGTTAATTAATAGATTTTGAGCCTTGCCTGGATTCCTAAAAATCACTATATAAATTTTAATTGGTGAATGTTAATTAATGACCTGTGTGGGTGCATTTCCAAAGAATTTACTTGGTTCTCACTAGAATAGTGAGGATTCATATAAATGATCGACATCTACTTAATATAATTTATATTAACTCATTCATATAAGGAGTACCCATATACCAAGTATAAAAGTGGCATTGTTAAATCTGCTGAGCCAAATTTTAACATTTGTTTATTCGTTGATTGGTCGTATTAATAATCATGTGACAAATGATCATCGAATTTCGTACAACACCATAATTTTATTGAATTATTGCGTTACAATTAATCGGCAGTTATTTTACGTATATATCACGCACGGTTAAGAAGATTGGAATCTTAAAAAGAATTCTCATAAAAAATCGAAATGTGACACAACATTTTATTAATATTAGTAAGCGCACGACCACAATTTAGTAACATGGTACTTCTCTATTATGTGTATATTCCATCCAAGTCGCTTCATTCATGACAAAAAGATTATTCATATATAAAAATTGAAGATTGCATAACTTTATAGTATAAAATATGATCAAATCGGTATTTAACGCTGGATATCAGCTTTAGAAAGAGAGTTGTTCCCGTGATGCTGAGTTCACAAGCGAATTCTAAAGACCCAAAGTGCTTGGTGTTCAAAGATTATATGGGACGTCATCTGAGAAAATCTGTCAAAAATTTTTTTTTGTATTTTTGATACAATGATGCGGTTATATGTAATTTGAGGCAAGGAATCTTTTCAGCTTAGAAATATAGCCGTATTTACTTGATAAATTTTTGAAATATCATCGATTTTTAAAAAATTACAAATATCGAAATTACTAATAAAAAGGTTTGAAACCCCCTTTTTCTCAAAATGTCAAAAAAAATTTTTTGACTGATTTTCTCAGATGAGGTCCCATATACTTGTCAAGAAAATAGTGATCTCATGTTCAAGCTAAATTACATTGCTATTTGTTAAATATTTCGGTTCTATAGTCCAAGAACATTCATAATACAAAGTCAATGCGCTTGCTATTGTGCAAGTTAAAGCTTTTAACCTCTTGTTACTATTATATTCATGAACAAATGAAAGAAAATGACAACACTACTTGTAAGAAAATTATGCATTATATCACAATATGGCCTATTCGAGAAAAGAAATTTTGTGGTTCAAGTTAAGCTTCAGAACTTCCAACTCTCGCTCATTAAACGGATTGATATGAAGATTGAAATTTTTAGTTTCTAATTATTGATTCATATCTATATTTAGTGGCATCACGGCAAAGGATTTATTTATGCTAATAGTGCGATTTTTTCCAATGGAATATTTAATATTTGTAAACAATTTAATTAAAACACAAACAAACATTGCATCAATTTTTTGACTATTTCAGGCCATTCAATCGACGCGCTAACCAAATCCGAAAAATCTATATACTGCAAAATAATTTCTAAAATTAGACTTGTATAATGTTAAGGCGCAGTCGAATTTTCAGACTAGGTATATAATAGAGGAAATGTTCATTTTGTTACATCACAATAAAATTTTAGCCATGATCATCTTAAATATTAATTTTCACGTGACTTACTAACAATGTACTTGTTAAAGAACAAGAAAAAACGAGGATATTAAATAACATTGACAACTTAAGCAACTCCATAAACACAAATTATTGAATTGACTATTTTTGAATTGACTATTGAATTTGATAACTGAACCAGCTATTGAGTTGACTAATGAATAAGCCCTAAACCGACTGGAATTTCATAACTAATTAATTATTAATTAATCAAAATATTTTTACCAATTAAATGTGATTAATGTGTTAGACAACTGATAAATCAATTTGATTTTATAAAATAAACAAACAAATGAATTAATTGGATGAAAACAAATAAATATAATTTTTTTTTTTAGAAAAGTGCTGGATACGTTTATTTAAACATTAATTAGCGCACTAGTAAACAAATAAATCCTTTGTGAGAGTTTCTGGTGATTGAAAGAAGTTACACGCGTTCAAAATATACAACAAATATAAACTAAACCTTCAAAATATGCATCATTATATATTTATATAAAAAGAAATGTACCATGTATATTATGATATGTTTATAATATTGGTTAGATTTGTTATTTGTTGGAAAAAAATATAAATTGAAAACATTTCCATTTTTTTCATTCTCAAAAACTTTTTTTTTCTTTTTATAAAAAATTTTTTTTTTATAGAATAAAAAATACTCTTTAACCTTCATTTTTATCAAAAAAACTAATTAATATGAATAGACAATTCAATAAAATTTTTGGTAAATCATCAAATAATAACAATAGCAATAGCAATAATAATAATAATAGTAGTAGTGGTGGTAATAATAACAATGAAGATTCATCGTCTTCTATAATGGTAAGTCATATTAAATCCTTCTTTCCTTTATATCACCTAAAACCATTTAATTAACATACATACATACATACATATATGTATATATAAAAGGATCATCAAAATATGCAATCTAATTCGCATCATCGTCAACAGCTAAAAAATAAACAACCTCACATTTCAAAACAACCTCATCACCATCAACAACCAACACCTCTCATTCCTGACTTCGTATCTCAAGACGGTAGCAACGACAACAATAATGATAGAAATCCAAATTTATTATTGAGAAAAAGTAAATCAATAAAAGTAAATAGGGATAATCGTGGCGGAAATAGATCAAGGACAAATAATCTTATTAATAATTCTCATCATCGTAAATCAAAATCTTTAACCGGCCTACTTGAATCATTAAATGATTATAATACCAAGGATAATAATCGTAATAACAATTACAATAGCAAATTGTCATCTTCACCGCCTTCCAAAAATCCGGAGGCTCTTTTCATACGTGGTTTAGCTCTAGAAGCTGCTATGAATAATGCAAATAATAATAATTCTCGTCTAAAAAATCCTAATAAATTATCTATAAATAATAATAATAATTCAGATGTGTTGTCATTTGCAACTGCGTCAAATCTTTTGTTATCAAATTCCAACGACAATAACAATTTTGGTAATAAAAAAAATTTGAAATTCAATAATAAGTCACGATCCTCTCCTCCTCATTCTGCCTTATCATCATCACCAACTTCTCCAACATTTAAACCAGCTTCAAGATTATTATCAAGATCTGTCATAAAACCAATAAATAGAAATAGCGATAGCGATAGCGATGACGACGACGATGACGACGACGATGACGACGATAACGACGATAACGACGATGACGACGACGACGACGATGATGAAATAACTGATTCAAGTGATGAAGATAATATGAATAAAAATAACCAATTAAATAATAATAATAATAATGTTAAAAATATTAATACTAAAACTATTAAATATGACGAAGCTTCTTCTTCAGATGGTGATTCGAGCCCATTAGCCACAATAAAATCTAATTTATTGAGTAATCAAAATTCATCAAACGATTCCTCTGATTCATCATCTACTGACAATTATGATTCTTCAGATGAAGAACAAAAACATGATAATCTCCTTAATAATAATAATAGCAATAACGAAGTAGAAGAAGAAGATGATGATAGCGATATAGAAAGTCCGTTTGTGGCTACAAGAACTTTAATGAGAAATCCCAAATCTCCAACTGTAAAAATTCAAAATGATTATTTGTCACGTGAAAATAGAAATGGTTACGATAAAGTAGTACCAACTAATACTACCAGAGATTTTAAAAAAATAAATAATAATAATAATAAAAGTAAAAATAATAATAATAATAAAAACAACATTAATAGAGACTATAGAAATAATAATAGTAATAGTAAACGCAATGACCAACAAATAGATAGTGCATTTAATGAAAGAAGAAGAAGAAGAAGAAGCAATGACGAGAAAGAGTTGACTAAAAAAACCGGTGGAAATAGAGATAATGGTGGCCGAGATTGTTTCTCCGATGATAATAACAATGGAAGGTTATACCCTGATCTTAATATTGATTCGATTAGAAGAAGAAAAAAAAGAGGAGAAGATCGTATGCTTAGTAATAATAGTAGTAATAGTAACAGTACTAATGAAGATTTAAGGTTACGAGAATGTTTTTCAGATGATAATGGGAGAACTTCATCTAGATATAGAGATAATCGTTTAAAGTTGAATAAATTAAGCCATTTGGAAGGTGATAATCGGAGAATTAAAGAAAAAAACATTGAACAACAACAACATGACAACCATCGAAGAAAGCCAATCAAGTCTCGTAGCAATGAAAAGGATCAAGGACATGATAAAATTACCTTAACGAAAGATAAAGAACATCATCAATCACAAAGACCGCAAACTACAAAAATTCGTGACAAACCTAACGAAGAAGCATCAAGCATCATCGTCAATAATAATAATAGTAATAATAATGTTGATAATGAAGAACGCGGGCGTAAGTTATTAACAAATAAAGAGAATGAAGAAAAAAGTCATGATAAATCAAAAATTGGAGATGAACATACAAGAAAAAAATCTAAAGAACGATCTAAATCTAGAAATAGAGAGAAAAAATCTCTTATTGATAATATATTTACGCGTCGCGAAAAGGTAAGGACATAATAATAATCAACATTATAATAATAATTTGTTTTTTCGACAAAATCTCTTTAATTAATCAATTAAAAATTATTATTCAGACAAAACTTATTGAATCATCATCTACTGTAAAAGAATCTTCAAAAACTGGTGATATTAAGGTTCGTATTTATTTTATCAAAAATTATTTATATATATATTTATATTTATGTGTTTTTATGTTTGTACGTATATAGTATACTGTTCAGATATATGTTGAAGAAGTGAGCCAATTCAAGGATATGCAGTTAACAAATGAGACTACTGCATTGGGCGTTCTTACTAAATTTCGAAGTGAAAATACAATCACAAACGCAGATGCATGGACATTATTTGAAATCAATAACGAATATGGACTAGGTGAGAAACAATTATTATTACGTCAGAAAGAGATATTAATAGTGTAAGAGAAATTTTCTAATGACAATGATGACAACTTTTTTTATTTTTAGAACGTCCATTCAGAGATTGGGAATGTGTTGCAAGAGTAATCCAGTATTGGGAAGTCGAGAAATCCAATGCATTAGTTATAAAGAAATATGCCCATAGAAATACATTGTCATTAAAGGTTGGTTGGTTTTGTTAATGATGATTTTTTAATATTTTTTAATTCTAATATTTATTTATGATATATGTGTTATTTATCATTATGCTATGAATTATACAGGGATTTACTGAATCAAGCTCTCCAACGAAACAGGGTTGGTTAAATTTAGAAGGTAAAAAAGGTAAATGGCAAAAAAGGTATTTCAATATTAGAGATGGTTCTATATATCACAGTAAAGATTTAAAGGTATTTATTGGATTCATTGATTTACTGATCGATTAATATCTGTTTTAAAATTATTTAATCTAATATTTATATGTTGTCGTTTAGGGAACAAATGAAACATTCCTTTGTGCATTGACAAGTTTTGATGTGTACACAACATTACCAAAGTTTAATACAAAAGCTCCTACAAAATTCATATTTGTCATAAAGTCTCAGGATAAAATTACAATGTTTGAAAACCCTGAAGATGATTATATGCATGTATTATGTGCAAATAATTTGGAAGAAATGCAAGAATGGATTTTACGTATAAGAACTTCAAGGGTAAATATAAATTTATGAATGCGTGATTGTGTAATATACTATATACATTGTCGTATATTTATTTACGTTATTTTTTTAGAATTATCTTATGCGTGAAGAAAGTCCTGCAACGTTTTCTGGAATAAATGAAAAAAAGATTAAACCAACGATTAATCTTGGTTTGCCTATAAGCAAGGCATTACCAGATACTATTTCCGAGGTTATTATTTTGTATTCATTTATTTATTTAATGATTTTTTTTATTAGTGTACTAATGATCAATGGATTAATTAACAGACTACATCATTATTGAGTGAAATAACATTTGAACTGGCTTCTTTTTCTCTTGACACTGCCAACACTTCACAAATACCACCATTGACTTCACCACAAGACACGAATTTATCTTTTAGTTCAATTTCAAATTCTATCAACGCTAATAATAATAACAACAATAATAATTTGGGTAAGTTCAGTTCGGAAAATCATTTTACAACTTCTCCAGTTGAAGACTACAACAAAATATTGTCACCATTATCTCCATCATTATTATCATTATCATCTCCATCTGGCATAGGAGCGAATGATGGAATTAAGAAAAAAAAGTCATTTACTATATTAAAAAGTCTAACGTCGTCGGCAACAACAACAACATCACCATCGACTACCGCCTCCACAACAACTGCTGCTACTGCATCAGCGGTAACAGATGATATGTCAAGACCATTTGCTAGTGGATCATTGTTAGATTATAACGAAAAAAACCCACCATTGAAACAAACAGAACCTGAAAATAAGTCGTTCTTCAAAGGATCTTTATTGGCCACAAGTGATTCATTGTTTGAACAGGCCAAAGAAAGAGAAAAGGTCCGGCGTGTAGTCGGAGGAAGTGGTTATGTAAAAGATGCAATTTCTGGTACCACTTTGGTTAATATTGGTGATTCTTTACATTTCCAAAAAGGCTCTTTATTGAGTGGTAGAAAACATGATAATCCTGAGAATACTGTCTCATCACCATCAACAACAAATTTACAAGGAGGGCACCATTATATTCAACTTGAAGAAAATGTACGATTCAACAAAGGTTCTTTACTTGCAAAAGGAAAATAATTAATGTTTGAATCTATTATTTATTTATTCATTTTTAATATTCCTGGTGAATATTCATATCCATATTCATATTCATATTCATATCATATGAATGTATGTAAAATATAATATCTGTGTGTGTGGTTTACATCTATATATATATTAATGTATAGTATTTTATATAAATAAAATTATTAGAATTTTAGAATTTTAATTTGTGCCAGAATTGGTATAAAAAATTCCCAACTTGTGTAAGTGATCGAACTCGAACTCCATTATTAAAGTAAATGAAATTGCTCCACTAGTGAATACCTTTTCATATCGAAAATTCTTCTCTGCATAAATCCATGGCTATTCAAAAAATGGGATTACTTTTTCGCTTAAATATCGCTTCAAAAGACTTGATAATGAGAATATGTAAAATACTCTAAATTTTCATACAGTCGCGGGTATTGGTTAATAAGTTTTAGTGTAACTCTTCCGCGAATATCCTTGGTGCAAGATTATCAGCACTGAGGAATACACTAGTAAGACGCGTGGATGTTGTGAACACATCAAAACAAATTCTTAGTTTCCCAAAGACTTTTTTAGATGTGCATTTTGAAAGTCGACCGTTAATAGAAAGCCCATACTTAGTTCGGTAATACGCAAAGGTAGAATAATATAAGGAAGAGTTAAGATAAATTTTTGCTTTTACGTATTACCAAGTGGGAGTACTATTTCGGCACTACGTGCCTCAAATCTAGGTTATCGAATGCAACGCACAAAGCAAAAGACGAATCACCATTTCGGTACTACGTACCTCAACCCAGGCATTCGAATGCAACATTACAAAGCAAAAGACGGATTACCATTTTAGCACTACGTTCTCCAAACCTCGAATTCGAATAAATCGTGAAAAGCGATTTTAGTTTACAGATGGGGGAGCATATCTATTTATACCTTTTTTGTTGTGATTTATTAGACTACTCGATCAATGCATCGTTTGACCACGAAATAGTCTATTTTATGAAACATTACACATTGCACATTAGCAAGCTAAGATGTTTTGCATCCGGTCCGGGTATAGTCCTCACAATCGGCACATTGTACCTCAGCTGTCCTCGAGTGACGACGTAAACATGAAACAATCGTCATTGGATGCCCAAACGATACGTCATGCTTCAGCCTGGCCCTCAAGTGACGAGACAAACGCAAACCGCACGTCACGCTATATTGCATTCTCAAAAGACGACGTAAACACAAATCAGTTGTCATTCGCCACCCAACGACACGTTGTGCCTCAACCTAGTTCTAAAGTGACAAGGAAAACGCATTTCGATCATTCTAGATGAATAATAGGTTATAGTGTCCCATTTCTGACGACGCAAGCATAAAATTGTCGTCACTTTAATGATGACACAGACATATTCCCGTTGTACTTGCCTAGTCTAGTTAAGTAGTTACATAATCTAATAGATTAATGTAACAATCATTAATAGAGTCAATTAATTTAGTGTTAGGGTCAATCTGTGAGTCAAATTATTATATACATCAAAAAAGTTGGTCAGACTTAATAGGGTCAAATCTATTAGTAGTCAACGGTTCATGATTAAGGAATGGCCACAAAAATTGTGTAAAATAAAAATGTTGTTAATGATTTTAGATGTGTGATTATTTCTAAACAGGTTTATTTATTTATATTATTTGATTTATGGATGGTTGTGGATGAAATTTTTATTAATTTGCAATTACAGTCTACTCTCTCTATAACGACCACTAAGTAAAATTTCTCTATAACTAACTTTCCTCTTGTCCCCGTTTCAATTTTTTATAATTAATTTCTCTCTCTATAACGACCATCTTAACAAACTCTCTCTATAACGACCAAAAGCAGAGAAATTACATATAGGGACAGAGGGTTCGTTATAGAGAGAGTGAACTGTACCTTTTGGTTTTTTAAGGAAATTAATATCAACAATTATGTATAAATAACGAATTATTGGAGAAACTGCAACAAAAAGCTAATATTTTTGTTGAATCTTTCCTTGTGATTAATTAAGTCAAATCCCATGAAATATTTTTTAATATATTCGTGTTATTAAAATCATTTTACCTAATTAACTTCCTGCAAAATAATGTTCATCTTGATGAACATTATTATCACCATATTATTAACAGTTGCTGTATTTATTCCTCATCACAGTATATATATAAAAAAACAATTAAAAATTTATAGATTCTAGATTGAACCATTTTTTATATTCATTTTTCCTTCTATCTTTGCAACTTCTGAGCTATGGAAGATTTTCTTTTTATCTCAGCAATTAATTTGAACATTTTGTCAGGGTAAATTTACCTAGAGACATATCTAGTGTCAATAATATCATTGTAAAAATTAAACCATTTACAGTGCCTTCACATCCTACTATTCCTATTCTTTTTGATGCCTTTCTACCAGTTTTCCTTTATTACATTATATCTTTCCTAATTGAATGTTATATTTTTTGTAAATCAATTCTAAGTCAACTTTTAAATTAGGATAATATTTTTGATATCAGTCAATCACTGATCTTTGAAGTCTGTTGTTCTGGTTGTATTACATTTGATAAGTCTGCATATGCTAATTAATTTTCTTGTAATGATTATAAAAATATGGTGAATCTATCTATTGCCATACCCCACCATGTTTTTAGATATATACAGTCATCCATTTATTGATTTATTTCATTATAATTACTTGATTTTCCACTTTAGACAATCTGTTCATGAATCAGAGAAATGTCAATCAATATAAAAATGTGGGGGGATTTCATATTAATTGCTAGCACTAGCTCAATGTAAATTATTTTTCTTAATGAATACAATAGTACTCGCCTCCAAGAGTTAAGCCTTTTATTTATCAATACAAGTAGTATTTCCATTCATTAATCCCCCATTTTGAATAATCAAATATCCAAAAAGAATATTAATATTCAAAATACATCAGATGACTTTTGGTATTGCAAGATCACAATCCAGGTTTAAGGTTATTAATCCTTTTTGATACGTTTTTTCATGTATAGATTCCTCAATCACTAGCTTTCTTATAGTGTAATCTAAAATTTATATAATCTACATCAATTGCAAGGATATCTCCAAGCCAATTGAGAGTTTATTTAATTAAATGAAATAGAGAGATATTCTTAGGGTAACCTGTAACTAATACTGTCAGAGGTTTGGAATAGTATCTTGGGAAGGGAATTGATCAATTGTTTTTAGTATAATTATTGGACATGTGTAAGGCACAACATTGCAGCATTATTTCAAATATTATTTGGATTGCAAGGGTTTAACCAATTAATAAAATAATTAAATTAAAACACTATTTATGTAATATTTTATAAAAATTTGTATTGTCATTTATAAAACCTTAGTTGCTAATTTTTGAATGTGGTAGTGTTAAGTGTAACGAATACCTATTTATTTGATGGTGGTGATGGTAAATCTGTGGTGAGTGATATATTCTGTGTTTTTATTAACAAAATCATTCGTTATCACATACAGTGCAGTGTAGTGTTGTGCCATTTATGCTTCCAATAAAATTTCATTGGAGCATTCTAATAAATTCCAATTGGAATTGGAACATTCCAAAAGTGGTTCCAATGAAGTTAACCAATGAAATTTCAATTACAGTGACACACAAGAATTTTATTGGTCAATATCAATTGTAGATCTGCATTGGAACATTCCAATAGCGTTACAATTTTCCAATTGCACAACACTGGTGCAGTGTGTCACAAAAAAATGGCAAGGTAAAAATCAACAAATACATATTTTCTAGAACTTTATCAATTAAAAATAAAAAAAATTTGATTATTTTTGAAAAAAATTTTTAATGTGATCATTGCTCTAAAGCTATAAAATAATATGCTTCAAAATTTTACACATAATGATCCAAGATCTTTTAATTCTCTGGCATAATTTTTATGAGATGATTTTGGATACTTTTTATTAAAAGCAATATTGCCATTTTTTTTGTGACACTGTATTATTGTTTGATAATTTTTTTTATAAATATAATGATTCTATAAAATTTGTCAAGTTTTTTGTTGAAGAAGCTTCTGTTTTGCCTAGTTCATTAAACTCATACAAAGGAATATCAACCTTTAAACATTTCTTATAGTTAAGAAGTGTTTGTTTTGATGATCCAATATTTGTATCTCTGTTATAGTAGATCATTTAATATGTGTAAGTTATAATAATTCCTTTTTTTAAAAAAAAAAATATGCTTATATGCATCTTTCAAAACCTAGCTAGTCTTACCATGCTCAACATGTTTTTGGTGTTCAGATCTAGTTTTCCAAGGCCCATAGCTTATCTCAAAAAAAAAATTCATAATGAAATTAGCTTCTAGAATTTTCTTCAGGTTGACTGCCATCCTTCAGGGTTGGCCATGATACTGGTCCATTAATGGTCCATTAGATCCATTAATGTAACCTTTTAACTATATTTAGTATTTCATTAATGGCAATGGACCAGACCAAAACTTGTTGGTTTCAATGGACCCAGTCTATTTCCAACCTTGCCATCCCTAAATGAAGGAAAAAATACATCATTAATATCATAAAAAATAAATTTCATAATTTGTACTATAACTTGATGAGACAAACTTTTTTCATTGATTGATTTCTCACATCTTATATATGATTTTTTTGACCATCATTTTTGAAGGTTTCCACCAGAAGGTACTAAATCAGCATAAACAAGTTAGCATTAAATGTTGAGAAATTATAATTGTTTATTGTAAATTACCTTTAAATATTTTATCATGAAAATTACTTGTTGTCAAAATCTCTATTATCAATACAATCAACAACAACACCATCATAAATGATAAATGTTTGATTATCTTCTATTTTTGTAATCATTGTATTAAAAGAAATTTTTATGCTTCAGTTGCTACAAGAACTTTATATGGTCTATTTATTTATTTATTTTTTTAAAATATATTATTAATAAAATTTTTTTTTATTTGATAATGTACTTGCTTACTCATATTTATTTAATAAATCACCAAATAATAAGTGATTATCATGATCAAAGAGGATGAATCTTAGGTCACACATAATCTCAAATAACGTGATCATTATAGCTTCAGTGAAAGATCTGCATTTTATAATTTTGAATGCAAGTGTTTTAATTTGAGAATAATATACATGTAAGCCAATTGTCATTTACACAAAAAGTTGTATTACAATTTTTATGTTACAGAATGATGTGGCAATTTATATTTATAAAATCCTCACATTCTCATATGCATAAATGCTATAATTGATCATTCTTTGTCTGATATACATTCCTTAAATATTTTTGTCGAGGAGAGGTCACTTTGGTTGTGATTGAGAAAAGAGAAATCATCAAAATACTCAAGTTTTGTTTTTTAGATTTTCCTTTAGTGGGATGCATTGTTTTGTAATTTTCAAACAAGTAAAAGTTATTACACTCAGAACCAAATAGGTCAATGCAAATCATACCCAGGAATTTCAAGAGATCATAATATATTATAAAGGAAATTTTTTTACTCCAATGTTGCTTTTAAAATGTTTGATTTATTAATAAAATTAATTCTTTTTTTTCGCTTGTGTTTTGTTGATACCTAAAAGGCAAATTATTGTCGTACACGTGATCAAAATGGGGTGGGGTAAGTGCTTCTATTAAACAATATTAGCTAATATATGTCAGCGCCCTTATCATTGTTTGAAAGTTTGTAAAAAGAGTGTAATTCTGTTAATGATAATTTGTTACTTTTTGAAGAAAATGAAGTGACAATAATGACGAAGATGAAATAACAAAACATGAAAAAATATCTTTGGATTTTAGAAATTCTTTAGTTATTGATAAATTTTAAATAAAACCATTTTCAATTGAAATCACGTGTTTTACATGTTTCACAAGTTTCACGATTAAAGTGGTTTTTAGATCTACAAATTTAATTTAATTAAAAATATTCCCAAGTTTTATTAAAACTCAAAAAAAAAAAAGTAAAATGGTGGCATTACACAATAATAACAATAACAGTAATAAGAATAATCATAATAATCATAATAATAGTACTAATAGTAATAGCAATAAGAGTGATAATAATAATAGCAATAATTTTTCTAAAAATTCTTATTCAACATCATCAAGCAATCATAAAAATCACCCATTAGATTTATTATATTTTGATAGTAGCATTGGTAATTCAACATCAACGTCAACGTCAACGTCAACGTCAACAACAC